CTAAAGGGGGGGGGCGGGGGAAATAAAAAGTACAAGTTTAATGACAAATTACTCTGTGGACAAAGAGGACATCGGGCGAAAGTTGCCGAGTAAAGGCAAAAGCAAAAGAAAGAACAAGCAAAGAAGCCTGCTCAAAGCCCATATGAACCGAAGTGGACAAATATTTCAATGGAATAGATTGCATATAAATCTTTCTGCAGTTGTTTCTGAGGGAATCCTTGTCAGAAATCCTAAATGGATAGTGGGTTGGACAATTGGGTGCCTACTTGTCATATTTGTGCCGACAAAAAGATGTTCACATCTTAATTCTACCAGTAGACAATGGTGAACAAACTTTTTATGGCACTCCTTAAACTTCCAAAGTTTGAAAGGACAAGGAAAGCATTGTACTCAAGATGACATCTGGAAAGGAACTCACTCTCACAATGTGCTGCATTACCAGGACATTCGCAAGAACTTGTTTCCGGATATTTGTTGAATAAGAATGGGTTTAGGTAGTATTGAGAGTGGATAAATTTGTACTTACTAAGATGAGAATGTATGTAAAGAAAAGTGTTTACATTGTCTGATGGCCTTTTCAAGTTAAATGTAATGACTGTGTACCCTCAGTTATTAATAAATAATACATCTTCTTCTTACTTGCTTGAGTCTTTCAAATTTATTGGCATGATAGATATGACATGTTAATTATGGATCTTTGCATAGATTAATTTAATATGGAATGTTTACCTAAAATTTGACATTGATTCAAAATCATAAATGTGAAATTTACGTTGAGGCAAAATTATCTAAAACTCATTGTTTCATTCAATTGAAAGAAGACGAAACCATCTGAATTAATTTTAGCTGACATTTGTGATTTTAAATTAATTCAAACTAGAGGTGGGAGAAAAAGTAATTTTATGCACTTTTATAGATGACTAATACTAGAATAGTTATGTTTAATTTAATTCGAACCAATGATGAAGTTTTGGAAACTTTCATTCAATATAAAGAATGAAGTTGAAAATCACTTGGAAGAAAATCAAGAAACTTAAGAAGTGAGTGAGGGTGGTGAATATGAAATTACCTTTTGGGGAAGTTGGTTGTAAGAGAAATGAATAATTCATCAAACCACCGCTCCTTACTCATCTCAGCAAAATGGAATTGCTGAAAGGAAAAAATAGGACTTTAAAAGAAATGATGAATACCATATTAATTACTTCAGAACTTTGTGGGGGAAACAATACTTTTCTACTAAATTATATTTTAAATAAAGACCCCGAAAAAAGTGGAATCAAAAACATCCTTAGAAATGTGCATTGGGCAGAGAGTACCATCCTACAAAATACTTAAAAAGTTGTTTTGGGGGTGTTTGCTAAAATGCTATCCTAGTCCTAAAAAAGACTAAGATAGGGTCCTAAGACCATTGATTGCATTTTCATTGGTTATTGCTAAGAATAGTAGTGCATTCGGTTTTTGATTCAATAATCAGATATACCGAAATGCATGTAAAATACTATTATTGAGTCTCGGAATGCATCATTCTTTGAACATGTATTCTCAAATAAACTAGACAAGAGACTGGTAAATAATAAGAAGACTCATGATGCTATTAACTAGTCAGGATCAAGAACATGAATTAAGAACAAGAGTTAGATCAAAATTGAGAAAAAGGACAACCTAGGCGTATAAAACGTGCTAGAACCTCAAAAGTATCTTTTTGGTCCAGATTTTCCTAACTTTTTTGTTAGAAAAATGAGCCTTTAACTTTTATAGAGGCTATGTTCCAGTCCTGAAGCTCCTTTATGGAAAGAAGTTGTCAACAAGTAAAGTTTGAATCCACTCTTTGCAGAAATCACAACTTGGAATTTGTGCGATTTGTCCACCAGGTTTGTAAACCTCTTGGAACAAGTGGATTTCAAAGAGAAAATCGAAAAAGCGACGATGGTTATCAATTGACAAATTACAAGGCAAGACTTGTGGTCCAAACGATTTAGACAAATAGAAGGTCTTAATCTACTTTGACATATATTCACGCGGTTACTAGAATAAACATCCAATTAGAATGCTTAATTGCCCATCTTGCAATCTCTATACAATCTAGAAATTCATCAAATGGATGTTGAAAAACCGCTTATCTTAAATGGTGAGTTAAATGAAGAAATTACAATGGAAACAACCAGAAGGTTTTTTATTCCAGGAAAAGAAAAAGAAAGTGGTGTAAATTGCGTTAAAATCATAATGGTTTAAAACAAGCGCCAAAGCAATGGCTGAGAAAATTTGACAAGGCAATGATGTCAAATGGACTTTAAAATTAATGAGTGTGACAAATGTGTTTATATTAAAAAACACAGACCAAAGGTTATGTCAATGTATGTCTTTATGTAGTGATATGCTCATCATAGTAAGTAATAATAATATGAATTAAAACTACTAACTACTAAGAAAATGTTGAATAAACACTTTGGCATGAAGGACATGGGCATTGTTGATGTAATTCTTGATATGAAAATTACCAAAACATCAGAAGGATATGCTTTGTCACAATCTCATTACATTGAGAAAATACTTGACAAATTCAGCAAAGATGATGATCATCTTGCTAGAACACCTATAGATGTTAATTTGTATCTTTCTAAGAATGTACACGAAAGTATTTCTCAATTAGAGTATATCCAAATTATTGGAAGCTTAATGTACTTGATGAATTGCACTCGCTCAGATATAGCTTATGCAGTAAGTAAATTAAGTAAATATACGAGTAATCCGGGAGTAGAACACTGGAAAGCAATTATAAGGGTTTTAAGGTATCTCCGATTTACTCGCAATATTGGGCTAAATTATACTATATATCCAACAGTACTTGAAGGATACTGCGATGCAAATTGGATATCGGATACTATAGACTCAAAGTCCACCAGTGGGTATGTCTTTACTCTTGGTAGAGCGGCTGTATCTTGGAAATCTTCCAAACAGACTTGTATTGCTAGGTCTACTATGGAATCAGAATTCATAGCTTTAGACAAAGCTGGGAAAGAAGCAGAATGGCTTCACCACTTCCTTGAAGATATTCCAATATGGCCTAAATCAGTGCCTGCTATATGCATACATTGCGATAGTCAATCAGCTATAGGTAGAGCACAGAGTCACATATATAACGGTAAGTCACGATACATTTGTCATCGACATAACACCGTGAGACAACTACTCTCTAATGGAATTATTTCCATAGAATATGTTAAGTCTAAAGACAACATAGCGGATCCACTAACCAAAGGATTAGCAAGAGAGTTAGTTGAGAATTCATCGAGGGAAAAATTGGTTTATTAGGCTTATTTTGGGGCGACTTTGAGCCCAAAATTGAGTGGGCCCCAAACGTCTTTTGGGGTAGGTCCGAAGAGGTGAAGTGTTCCTTGCCGCGTGGCAAGTCACACGGTGAAGACGGTTCGTCAAAACCATTTATGAGTGAATGGGAACATGACGTCATTTTTGGGTTCGTGGAATTGAACATTTAAGTTTTAAATGTGGGTTTCCTTGTGAGGCTTGTCCCACATTGAAACTTTAAGAGAGTTTTGTTGAGTATATAAACTCTAGCCTACAACACTTGGGTTGGGCCCCAAAGGGCACCCCAAGTTTGTAGAAGAGAGGAGTTATGGACAAAGTGAACCATAGCCCAAACTACCACAAGCGCGCGCGCGCCGCCGCTGCCCGTCCGGCGCGCGGGTGTGGGTTGTGGATCGGGTCGGTTCTTGTATTAATTTTTTGGATGAAATTCATTTAATTTTTTTTCAAAATTTGTTGCAGCAATTTAATTCAAATTTGAATTTAAATTTTTGTCCAAACAAACTTTTTCCTATCTAAAATATTCCACAACAGATTTTTCAGTTCAAACAGTTTTTCTAACTGTCTAAAACCGGATAGATTCTTAACTGTTCAGACAAATTCAAATCTGGACAGTTTTGTTCCAAATCTGTTTGAATTTTGAATGATATCTGTTCATTCAAAATAACACCTGTTCACTTCCTTAAAGTACCTGTTCGGGTCAGATATATTGTCTATAAATACAACCATGATTCCAGTAGTCTTGTATTCGAAAATCAGTCTGAATATTTGTCTCTTTGCTGTCCATTTTGTTCTAGTGCATTTATTCTTCATATATTAGTTTTAAATTAAATTTAATAGAGTATAGAACACAAGGTTTGGTTCGCCGTACAATTTTGGTTGGTGTGCTACAACAATTTTGTGAAGATCATTGTATCCTGTGAGATAGACGCCACTCAATCGTAAGCACAGCAGCGGGGCGAATCTGTCTTAAGGACAGAGTGTCACACACTCGACTTGGCCTTTGAATTATTTATTCGATTCTACAAAATAAATACTGTAAGTTTTATTTTATTTTGTTTGAATTGTTTCAAATTATTTTATTTACACAGAAGATTGTTCCAACAAACCTTCCTCGTGTATCCCACCTTTCATTACCATGATTTGGATAATAATCAGCATAACTGAGGTCCCTAACAAACAACACTGTTTTCCCTTTTGTTGGGTTTGATTCGTAATAAGTAAGAGTCTTATTTGAATCATAAGTCTGACCAATATCCCCTGTAAAAGTTGCTTGATATAGTCAACAAAACACACACCAAGGCACAGGAGGTTCATTTGGTAACAAAAACAAACAAAATTTGGGAAAGAAACGCAGCGTTCCCCCAAAATGGTAAGCCAGCAAGTTAAATAACACCAAGTTTCAAAAGAAAAATGCACATTGCTCGTAATCATCTCCAATTAACGATCCATTAAAAAGTCTAGCAAAAGTGGAACCAAAGCCTCCTTAGCTTGAATGAACGGTGATAGAAACAGTATACCAAATATCAAACACTAACTCAACATGTACAAAAGATTTTACAATCATCGGCAAATTGATATAATAAAGAGGAGTTTACTTATGAGACCAAATGTATATGGGACATCCGAGCCAACCTTAGGAGGAGTTGTAAACTGTTAGCAGATATTTTAACATTATAATGTGTTATTGGTTTGATTTGTTTTCTTTTCCTCCAAGAATCCTTCAAGTCTTCTTTTCTAAGTCTTCGCCATATCAAGTCAAGTCTTTATCCTATTCTTATCCATCAAGTCTCCATCCTATTCTTATCCATCAAGTCTCCAAATTTTCTAAGGAAATTGCCTACCAATTTCATTTCCTTTTCTTATCCACCAAGAATAACCCTCCAAGCTTTCTCTCCTATATGTATTGAGCTATCTTCTTATCTTGGGGGAGTGAAGAAGTTTTGGTTGCTTTATTATGTTTTGTGTGAGATTATCAGGCAAATAAAAAAGGGTGTATGTGATAAAGCTTTGGGTTCAACCAATTGTACAGTATTGGTGAACCATACGACTTAGTTGGGCTATTGTATCCTGGGGGGGACAAGTCAAAGGTTTTTTCTGCTGCACCGATGTGAGGCTTTGCCTAACCGCAGAGGGCTTAAATCTCCTTAAAGAGAGCGAATTTCCCGCGCCTCAGCCCTTATATTAGTTATTGTAACTTTTATTTTTTGTATTTTATGGTGTTTTATTTGTAATTATCACCAACAATTTTAAGGAGATTCAATGAGTAAAATTTCATGGAGCCTGTACTGGAGAAGCCCAATGAGAATACCGACGATCTCAACAAGCCCTTCCGGTTCAAGGGAGCCCATTTCAAGAGATGGAAAGGCTAGGTTCTTTTCTACCTCAGTCTCCTCAAGGTGGCCTATATCCTGACCGAGAAAATCCAAACAAAGTCCTCACTGAAGAGATGACCGACGAGGAGTATGCTGCTCATCTTGAAAAAATTGAGAAATACAACATAGATGAGTATAAATGTCGATATTATCTTTTGAATTGTCTTTCAGATCAATTTTATGATTTTTATGATACTATTTACACCACTGCAAAGAAAATTTGGAAAGCCTTGCAGAATAAATATGACACTGAAGAGGCAGATGCTAAAAAATATGCTGCAAGCCGTTTTTTCCGCTATCAGATGATAAATGGAAAATCATTGGTGGAGCAAGTTCAAGATTTTCAGATGTTAATAGCTGAAGTTAGATCTGAAGGCATCAAAATTGGAGACAATCTTGTTGTAGCAGGTATTATTGACAAACTACCATCGTCTTGGAGGGAGTTCTTAATGCATCACAAGCAAAAAGAGACGTCCTTAGAGACTCTAATCGCACGGATTCGGGTAGAGGAGGAAGCATGAGGACAAAATACGCTTATGACACAAGAGCATTACACTGCAAAGGTAAATTTAACTTCTGGAAATACTTGACCTAAAGGTCGATTTCATAAAAATAGTCACTTGAAACCAGTTAAGAAAATCTGGAAAAATACTAGAAGGCCACAAAATAAAAATTACCCGAGGCAAAAGAAATGGAACCAAGAACCCCTTTCACAAGACCTGGCAAATGTGATATGTTTTGTGTGTGGCAAAAGTGGACATATTACTCAAACTTGCAAATTTCGGAAACAACAGTCTCGACCACAGGCTAATGTTATCGAGGAACCATTTGTGGCAATGATTACAGATATTTTTATGGTTCAATATGTGGAAGGGTGGTGGGCAGACTCTGGTGCCAATAGGCATGTCTGCTACGATAAAGATTGGTTCAAGGATTTCACTTCTTTTAATGAGGAGGAGACTATTATGCTTGGTGACTCCAGTTTAACCAAGGTGCTCAGGTGTGGGGATGTTGAGCTGAATTTTACCTCTGGACGTGTGCTTGTTTTAAAAGATGTGTTGCACACACCGTCCATGAGGAAAAATTTGATGTCAAGTTATTTGCTCAACAAAGTTGGTTTCAAGCAGACTATTGAATCTGACCAATATGTAATCACTAAAAAAGACATATTTGTGGGGAAAGGGTATGCCTGTGATGGAATGTTTAAATTAAATGTTGAGAATAAGAAAACACATGTTTTTGTTTATATGCTGTCTTCTATGAATTTTTGGCATGCTCGTCTGTGTCATATTAATAGATGATATGTGGGAGTCATGAGTAGTTTAGGATTAATTCCTAGACTAACAAATAAATTTGAGAAATGTGAAGTTTGCAGTCAAGCAAAAATAACTAAAAGGCCTCATAAAAGTGTGATGGGAAATACTAAATTGTTAGAATTAATTCACACTAATTTATGTGAATTTGAAGGAATTTTAACACGTGGTGGAAATAAATATTTTATCACTTTTATTGATGATTTTTCAAAATACACTTATGTATACTTGTTGAAAAATAAAAGTGATGCTTTTGAAAAATTTAAAGAATTCCTTCTTGAAGTTGAAAATCAATTCGGTAAAAAGATTAAAAGATATAGAAGTGATAGTGGCCGTGAGTATAAATCTTTTGGATTCAACTCGTTTGCTCAGCCTTTGGGAATAATCCATGAAACTACTCCACCATATTCACCTGCATCTAATGGTGTAGGAGAAAGGAAAAATAGAACTTTAACTGATTTAACAAATGCTATGCTAATTGAAGTAGGTGCTCCTTCAAATTTGTGGGGAGAAGCAATTTTAACTGCATGTTATGTTATGAATAGAGTGCCACATAAAAAAACAAAAGTTACACCTTTTGAGTTGTGGAAAGGGCATAAACCAAATTTGAGATATTTGAGGGTTTGGGGTTGTCTAGGTTTTGTTAGACTTGTGGACCCTAAAAGACCTAAATTAGGTGTGAAAGCTGCCACTTGTGCTTTTCTTGGATATGCAACAAATAGTACAGCCTATAGATTTTTTGATAAGGAAAACAAAATAATTTTCGAATCAGGTGATGCAATTTTTCATGAAGAAAAATTTTCTTTTAAATCTAAAAATGGTGGGGGTCAAAATTATCAAGAAAATATTTTATCTGAAACTAGTTTCTCTACTCCTCTTTTATAAAACCAAGACACTATAGTTTTTGAACCTAGAAGGAGTAAAAGAGCCAGATTAGAAAAAGATTTTGGCCCTGATTATCATGTTTTTAATGTGGAGGAAACTCCATTAACTTTACAAGAAACTTTGGCATCTCCTGACTCTGTTTTTTGGAACGAGGCTGTAAATGATGAAATAGAATCATTATTATCCAATAAAACTTGGGTATTAATAAATTTACTACCAGGTTGTAAAACTATTGGCTGTAAATGAGTTTTGAGAAAAAAACTTAAATCGGATGGAACTATTGATAAATATAAAGCAAGGTTTGTTGCAAAAGGTTTTAAACAAGAAGCAGATCTTGACTTTTTTGATACATTTTTTCCGGTTACTAGAGTTACATCCATTAGATTATTAATTGCAGTGGCTGCAATTCATGATCTAAAGATTCATCAAATGGATGTTAAAACGGCCTTTTTAAATGGAGACCTGGGTGAAGAAATCTATATGAATTAACTTGAGGGTTTTGTGGAACCCGATCAAGAAAGCAAAGTATGCAAGCTAGTTAAATCTCTATATGGCTTAAAACAGGCCCCTAAACAGTGGCATGAGAAATTGGATTCCTACATGATTGAGAATGACTATAAAACGAATGAATTTGATAAATGCATCTTCTATAAATCTGAAGAGAATTCACATGTCATTATTAGCCTCTATGTGGATGATTTACTTATATTTGGCTCTAATTTGCATATCATCGAGGAAACTAAAAATATGCTTAGTAGCCATTTTGATATGAAAGATCTTAGTGAGGCTAATTATATTTTGGGAATGAAAATTACCAAAACTTGTGATGGTATATTTCTTGATCAGTCGCATAATGTTGAGAAAATTTTGAGAAAATATAATTTTTATAAGTGAAAGCATGTTCTTACTCCTTTCGATCCTCATGTGCGTTTATTTCTTATTGAAAATGATGAGGATGTAATTAATCAAAAGGAATATGCTAGTATGATTGCTAGCTTGCGTTATGCGATTGACTGTACTAGACCTGACATTGCCTATGCAGTTGGAGTACTTAGCAGGTTTACTAGCAAGCCTGGCAGTGATTACTGGCTAGCCATTGAGCGTGTTATGAAATATTTATCTGGTACCATAAAATATGGCTTGTTTTATAATAAGTATCCTGCAGTACTCGAAGGTTTTAGTGATGCCGATTGGAATACCTTGTCAGGTGATTCATTATCAACTACTGGTTACTTATTTACATTGGGAGGTGGTGCTATAAGTTGGAAATCGAAAAAACAAACCATTATTGCTAATTCAACAATGGAGGCTGAGCTTATTGCTTTAGCTATAGCCAGTGAAGAAGCAAATTGGTTAAGAGATTTGTTAAATGAAATCTCTTGTTGGGAAAAACCGATTCCACCTATATTGATTCATTGTGATAGCACCGCAGCAACTGGTCAAGTTAATAACCGTTATTATAACGATAAATCTAGACCTATCAGAAGAAAACACAGTACTTTGAGATCTTATATGAATAATGGCATCATAAATGTAGATTATATTAAATCTGGTGATAATCTTGCAGATCCATTAACTAAGGCCTTAGCAAGAGATAAAGTCTGGAATACATCGAGGGGGATGAGGTTGAAGCCCATTGTATATAGCAGGAGCCATGTATGAGGATACTCAACCCAGGGACCAGAGATCTTGTAACTGGGTTCAATGAGAAAAACGATCATATGATGGCTGTGAGAAATGCACTAAATTACTTTTTACCCATCCCTATGATGTAAGTGCATTTATTCTGTAACGTTGTAGAGGTTGAGTTATTAAAAAACTCTTAATGAATTTCTGTAGCTCTTATTGAGTGGGGTGTCATAATTACAGGAGCACTCTTGACATAATTCACCTATGTGAGTGTGGTAGTGGGGCCGCTACCTATGAGATTTGGGTTAATTCTCAAACACACTTATAAATCCTGGGATCGCATAAGGCCGTAATGTGCTAGCTTTTAAAGCTTATGTGAACACCTGGAATATTATGTGTGTGCAATAATTATTTATTTTCCTTAAGTAGTCAAAGTTCAATGCTGAGCATACTATTGGCTCTGGAGTAGATATCATTGTTTCACTAATGGAGGTTCAATGCACAGCACACTTACCATGATGCATAATATCCTTATTTGCCTAATAATCTTAGTTTTTGTTACCTATAATATTAAAATAGGTGGGGGAATATTAACAGATATTTTAATATTATAATGTGTTATTGGTTTGATTTGTTTTCTTTTCCTCCAAGAATCCTTCAAGTCTTCTTTTCTAAGTCTTCGCCAAGTCAAGTCAAGTCTCCATCCTATTCTCATTCATCAAGTCTCCAAATCTTCTAAGGAAATTGCCCGCCAATTTCCTTTCCTTTTCTTGTCCACCAAGAATAACCCTCCAAACTTTCTCTCCTATATATATGGAGCTATCTTCTTATCTTGGGGGAGTGAAGAAGTTTTGGTTGCTTTATTATGTCTTGTGTGAGATTATCAGGCAAATAAAAAAGGGTGTATGTGATAAAGCTTTGGGTTCAACCAATTGTGCAGTATTGGTGAACCATACGACTTAGTTGGGCTGTTGTACCCTGGGGGGGACAAGTCAAGGTGTGTTCTGCTGCACCGGCGTGAGACTTTGCCTAACCGCAGAGGGCTTGAATCTCCTTAAAGAGAACGAATTTCCCGCGCCTCAGCCCTTATATTAGTTATTGTAACTTTTATTTTTTGTATTTTTTGGGTATTTTATTTGTAATTATCACCAACATAAACCAAAAAGTTCTTGTCGTGCGTCCAATCCCTACTTCATAGTAATATTCCGTGTCGAACTGCCAACAAAACAAGAAACTGGATCATTTTTATACTCAACTCAATGATGTAATGAACAATAGTACATAAATTAGAAAAAGGGATAGGGAATTAAAATGGTGCATCTGATGATGAAACAAGAGGATCAAAATGGTTGAAACTCACCTGCAAGTTCTTGATGGTGCAGTGATGGATGTGACTAGAAGTATAGTTGTAGAATTTACATCTACCTACAATGCCCTTGGCCTTGTTCTCCTTTTTGCTATTCTCACTCCAATAAAGGACTATCCTTGAACCAGCTTCCTGCATGGTGATCCATGACACTATCACAGCTTTGCCCACATGATCTCCTTGTGTGATATGAACCTAATTACATATGATCCACAAGTCAAAATATATAAATGCAAAAAAAAAAAAAAAAAAAAACCCAAAACTTGTGTGATATGAAGCTAATTACATATGACCCACAAGTCAAAATATATAAATGCAAAAAAAATAAAAAAATAAAAAAATAAAAATAAAAATCCAAAAACAAGTTATTAAATAGGAAAGAAAACAGCCCATTTAATTTATCAACAAGAAAAGCAAAATTCTGAATTAAGAAGGCTTGAAATGGTCCAAAATTAAAGATTAGAACCAGTTTTTCTCATAAGCATCTTTGACCCTTACCCGCGTTTGGATATTAGATTTGGACATTTTTGTTTTTACTCACAAATACTTACCCAAATCCAATATCCAAACACACTCAACTGAAAATTAAATTTGAGTAAAAAAATCACTTAAAATACCTCTCGTCTGTTTGACTCAAAACCCATATCAAATTCAGTTTTATCCAATTATTTAGCCGAACCAAAACCCAAAACCAACTATTAAAAATGATGACATAACAATTCTCTTTTAACCCTCTCATATCACAAATTGAATTTGTCATTGAAGAGCTTCGTTACTCAAATTTTTACCAAGTTTCCCATTGGAGCTTTTACTCAAATTTTTACTCATATCTAATTAAAATTTTGAGCAAGGACTGAGATTGAGACCCAGAAAAATTACAAAACCTTACAGATACTTCAAAAAAAAAAAAGCATAACAAATTCAAATTGTGACAGAGGAACTAATAAGAAGAACAGAGAAAAAGAACTCAGACCTGCTGAGGCGCATTATATCCTCGGGGCGGAAGGAAGGCATCACTGTCAAGAGGCATATCAACAGATTTCTCAACTGGTCTCACAAAAGCACTTGTGGTTCCTCCTTTGCAGAAAACTACAGCATTCAGCAACAAGCCCAGTACAGCAATTGCAGAGCACCATGAAAAACCCATGTTGAACTCTCCAATTCAAACCCAACTTAGCCTGTAAATCCAATCACCTTCACATATATATATACAATTATAGTGTAGTATTGTTTGGGCTAAATTGAAGAGGAACATTCAAGACTATGTACAAATTAGGGTGGGCCCTGGTCAGTTGCGGCCATAAACCTCCAATTCACCATCCGTTCGCCAGATTGACGGATTAGAGAAAACTAATCCGTATCTGTCTGCCAATCCGGCGAATAAGGATTAAGTGGATTGGCGATAGATACGAATCGGTTTGGAGGTTTAAAATTTTATAAATTTTTAACATAATTCAACTTGTGCACTTTCTCAAAAAAAAAATAAAAAAAAAATTACAGTCAATAACTTACAAAAGTATTACAATCACTGCATATCTCATCCAAATAAAGAAGTTTGAAACTTTAGAATATTATAATCACTGCATGCCTCATCCACATATTACAATCACAGCATGTCTCATCCACATAAAGTATTACAATATGTGGTTCCTAAAATATAAAAATAATTCAAACTACCCAAACAATAAACAAAGTAGTAGTAGAGATTGTATACCTCTGTATTGTTACATCTATATCTGTTTTTGAAAATAAAAACCAACCAGCCTATATCATCATTTTTATTTATTTTTTTTAGAGTTAGATTTAAAAATTAAAAATATAGATAAATAATACTTTTTCTCAATTCAAAAAATATATTCATATATTCAAGTTGAAAACTTTTTTTCAACAAAATATATTTAACAGAATATTTAAACTCTTTTTCAATTGAAAATACAAACAAAATATTTAAACAAATTGAAAATATAAAGTTTTACAAATTACTAGAGGTGCTTGCGGTTTAACAGTTCGGTTGCGGCTAGGGGTGAGCATGGTCCGGATTGGACCGGATTGGGGTAAAACCAGGACCAATCCGTTATCTACGGTTCCTGAAAAATTAAAACCAATCCAATCCGTTTAAATCATGGAACCAATCCGAACCAATCCATTTAAATACGGATTGGATCGGTTTAGGACCACGGATTCACATAATTAAATAACAAAAATATATATATAACACTTGAATTTCATAAAAATATAAACATAGCGCTATATTAGTTAGGGCTGGGCAACAAACCCACCCGCCCGCACAAACCGCCCGACCCTACCCTACCCGCAGTGCTTTGGGCGGTTTCGATGTAGGTAGGCGGGCGGGTGCGGGTCAATAAATTCGCAGAAGATCGGGTTCGGGTCGAACCCGACCCGCCCGCAACCCGCATCTTTTTTTTTTTTTTTTTTTTTTTTAATAACTAGTTATTATTATTATTTTTTGCATTTTGGATGGATGGAGATAACTAGTTATTATTTTTATTTTTACATTTTGGATGAAAGTAAAATTTATTATATGGGCACTTATATACATTATCATGATCTAATGATATTTAAATTAGTGTTACTAGTTTGACTTTTATTTATACATATAAAAAAAAAATCATTATATTCCATTAGTCTAGTAGACACAGTTAAATATGATATTTTGAATTGTCATTCTATTATCACATTATTGCATATTAAAAGCTAAACAGTGAAGATTAATCCACTATTAAAATTAGTGTTACTAGTTTTTTCATGGGCACTTGGGCCAAAACTCTAAGTTTGAATTTTTCTTACCCAAAGGTTCAGGCGCTAATTTATTTTGTTCATAAGAACAAGTTATCATATAATGACCAAAATATCCCTCCACTTTTGCCTCTCGCTTTTATTTCTTCATATATCCTTACCTTTTTCTCTCGCTCTCGTTATTGCAAACTTACAAATCGACGTCCTTGATCTCTTCGCCGCTACTCCTTGCTTTGTCGCCACTATATGACCACTATCAACGGACCACACCTTCGTTGCAGAGTTCATATTAGCTTCGTCTAATTTATCAGATTCAAACCACTCCATGCCACCCCAAACCCTATCCTATTCTCCTACAACCTTTTCTCCTCCTCTTCTGCCCCCATCTCCATTGTCCGTCACTCCTCCATTAGCCTTAACTCCCACTTCCTTTCTCGCCCTTGGATTTCTCTCATGCTCTTCCTCGCTCTCTCCTCAAGTCTTATCATTTGAAGCCACACTACTGTCATCTACTTCGTTGTTGCCACCTCGATATTAGATTTGAGCAACAAAACCCTAGCCTTCACCGTTGGAAGGCTACTGCCAAAACCCTAGCCTTTGCAAAAAGGATGTGTTCTTCAAATCTCTTTGTACTTGCTCAATACCTGAAAATTCGAAGTCATTGAAGCTTTCGGTTCTAGAAATAATATTGTTTGAAACCGATCTTCGAGCCCTTGTGTGTGGTTTATATGATAAGCTCAATAATGAGGAGTTAAATCAAATCTGAACATACTACTCCCAATGTGAGATCTGAGTTCAGCTTCGAAAATCTAGACATTCCGAAGTGGTGACGAGGACAAATCTGCACATTTCAAAGACAGATCTAGACATTTCAAGATAGAGTAATTGGATGATGATGATCGAGTTATTTTTTATCTGTTCAAAAATTTATTTTGTGTTTTTTTTATCTATTTTTTATCCAAAAAATTTGAACAGATAAAGGTTTGGTTTGGCTTGATATTGCAATAGATAAAAACATATAAAATTTGTTCTTCTGTTGGTCAAATGATGATGATGATGAAATCGATGAAATCAAAGATTTGAAGCCTTTTATATGGGGCTAATAAAAAATGGCCTTGTTTTGGGTAGGCTTTGGTGCCAAAAATGACTTTCTCCGTTACTTCATGAAACGGGAGAGGGGGCTTACATTGTAACAAAGAATAAACTACAGGGTTTTAATTGTCAAAATTAAAAACATGGGGTTTAAATTGCAAAACACGCGAAACCTTAGAATTCTTTTTGTAATTTGCCCTTAAAACGGGGAACTACACTTGTTTTTTTTTTATAAAAAAAAATCAAATTAATTAAAAATATTAATAATAAAATTTATAATTTTTTTCATTAATTTGTAAATATTTTATCCAATTCTCACTTATATGTAATTTTTCCTATTAAAATCAAATAGAGTCATAATTCATCATTGTAATTGTAATTTATTAAAATTATTATTTATTCTAATACTATATAAGAATCAAATCAAATAATGATAATAATGGCCAAAATATTTACTGTGCCCAACGGGCACTTCATTCCGTTAAATTTATCTATCATAATTTGATCATACAATCAAATCTAATAAGGTTATCTCTCCCTCTTAAATATTTAAAAAGTTGGCCCTTTTTTTGAGATGAACACTACAAAATAATGAATAATACTTAAAACTAAAATCTAGAACATGTCTACCTTAACCTATGTGAGTGTGTTCTTTGAATTAGTGTCCAATCTCCTCCTCAATATTATTATTATTATTACTATTATTATTCAGGACCCTATTTATTTGTCTAACAAGTATTTCTTATATTGACTTCCTCCTCTTAGTTGGATTGAGTTTTAATCTCGTTAATTCCTCTTCTTAATTAGGTTGAATTTAATCTCATTAAGAGTTACATTCTTATATGAGTCACATTCTTATCAAAATTTCATTATTTAAGAGCCATACTCGTTTGACCAATGTCAGAATTTCAATCTATCAGATCGATATCATATCATGTAATCGAGATTCAGAACTTGTCTGATCATATCTTACTTAAAAATACATCTTCACAATTACTTAGTTTAGGAAATAAAATTTTGCGTGTGACGTGAGTTAATCATTAATGTAAGATTTTGACTAATTGTATTAATCTTAAATAATTAACATTGTTAATATCAATGACAAGTAATAGACAATACGTTATGGGCATGTTTGATTGGGTGGATTAGAGTATGAGATTGAGATTATTAATCCATGGGTCCAATTATCCTATGTTTGTTTGAACATTTTGGTTTAGGATTATTAATCCAATAGATAATTATTCTAACAAATTTGTAGGATTATTAGTAATGGGGTAGGGGTGAGATTATTAATCCAATGGATATTAATCCAATTGGATAGTGAATACCACACTAATTTAATAGGATTATTAATACTTTACTATTAACCTTGTGAATCAAACATGACGTATGGGTGTTAAGATTTGAACTATTTCTAAAGTTGGCTGTTAAGATTTGAACTATTGTTGAGGTATGTAAAAGAGAAGTCAATTTCGAATCACATCAGAGTGTTTGAAACCCAAAGTTGAGATTAAAATAGTTTTAAATACAAAAAAAAAAAAAGAAGCAGGTAAAATGACACTTATGCCCCGTAAATTAATAATTTATAATTATAAAAAAAAAAACAAACAAAACCAAAGCAGTCGGTAGTGGGCAGAGGGTAGGGCTAGCCTAGTCCCACAGGCTGAAATGATACTTTTGCCCCTATAGACCAATTTTGGAAAAAGTGAAGTTAGGGACAAATTTGTCATTTCAACATCAAACATTATTTCAAACACATTTTTCAATACAATAACTCAAATAAAAATCTATCTTATTTTTCTAAATACAAAAATTAAAATAACCTATTAAAATAATTAAAAAATTAAAAAACTTATAAAATAGTCACTTTCCAAACAGCGACATTGTGTTATTTGGGCTTGTTTTTATACCAAAACCGGTTAAAGTGGTAGATTATGATTGTCTATTTTTATTTTTATTTTTATTTTTTTGGGTGTAAAAACCTCTTACCAATAACATGCGGTCAATTTGTTAAATAAAAAAAAAAAAAAATCAGAAGTGGTCCACTCTAAAAAAAATAAAAAAATCCCTCATTTGGTTTTGGTACTGAGAGATTGAATTTAAGCATCATTTTCGTTCTAATACTCTAATATTGTACTTTCTAATATTTGTGAATTAAAAAATTAATTTAAAAAATATCAGGTCTCGTTTGGCAACTAAATATTTTAATTTAAAAGTTAAAAAATCACTAAAAAAATTAAAGATCTAACAATCTATACCAAAAAGTTAAATATTTCTTTTTCTCTCTATTCTTTGTATATCTTTTCGTAAAAAAATAAAAAATTATTCCAAACATATTGGGTGTGTTTAGTTTGTGTTTTGAGATAAATTTTCAAATAAAATTTGAGGAGATAGTT